CTTATAAAAGCAAGTTTAAGAAGATTCTTAAAGGGAAAAGCAGTAAAAGAATAGACAGAAATGGAGAAATGGAAGTTTCATTGATTAAAAGGACAGAGCCAAGGCTTATATACCTTGCAGCTCTGCCCAAAGACTTACAAAAAGAAAAAGAAAGAGAAAAGGAAAGAGAGCCTCAGCTACTTCCGAGGTGGGAGGACAGCTCGCCCTGGGACCCCAGAAGGTTGACCTCCTCGGATCCACCCTGCTGTGATGGAGCCTCCTCTTGAGTTGTGCCGACCTCGGTAGGCTCTTGGCTTGGGGCATCCCCTTCCTCCATGTCGGAGTAGTCAGAGTCAAGCTCCCTAACGTACTTGTCCACCAGGGATTGGGGGCCAGGAGTACCGTTAGGCCCAGAAGCTCACTTCTCAGAATACTTCTTCTTGAGATCGTTGAGATCGATCTGAAGATGAGGCATGTCGGCAACAATGCCTTTCATCAGGAACTTGAAGCCAGCATCACTGAAGTCTTTGGCAAACCCGTCGAAGTCTGGGTGTTGCCTGAATGACTCCTCCAACAGAGCTCCATTGGTGAGGCGCTCTTTCAGCTCTTTGAGCTCAGTCGTAAGACGCCCAATTGAGGCGTCCCTCTCCTCAAGGACCTGAGTAAGGTCGTCCTTCTCCTTCAGGAGCTGAAATTTCTCCTTCCCAGCCCCTTGGTGATAGCATGGGCTGCTCGGAGGTGAGTCTTGTGTTTCTCACACTCCTTCTTCAAAAGCTCGGCCTTGGCATCCACCTTGGCCCTTAAAACATCCACCTCGCCTTGGGCCTTTAGCAGTTCACCCTTCAGCGTGGTGGCAGCCTCTAAGGCAGCAGAGGAGTTCTCCCTTTCCTTTGCTGTCAAAGCCTCTCTTCCATCTAGTTCGGCCTTAACCATAACTGCTGAGTGAATGGAAGCGATAAAACGCCTGCAAAAAGTCAGAGAAACGATGGTTAGATCAAGATTGGGAATTGAAAGTAAAAACGTGACACAAGAGCAGGTCTTACCTCGGCAGCGTTGTCAATGGTCCTCTGCAGTACGGACCCAGGATCACTCACGAACTTGGATGCTCTCCTCAGACAGCGGTCCAAGCACGTGGCCGAGATGCGGGACACCTGGTCCTTCACCCCGGAACTTGACGATTCCATCCTGAACCGCATTCGCACATCGGATGTTCCCCCCATCCGAGCTGCGGGGTCATCTACCAAATCACCATGACTCATAGGCAGAGTCCCACGAGCCCCAGCCTCCGAGGAGGAGGAAGTCTTCTTCTTCTTTCTTCGTCTCCTCAAAGGAGACTCTCCCCTCACTTCATTCAAGGGAGATACGTCAAGCGCCTCGGACTCCTCCCTTGGGCGTTTCTCTTCAGATCGACCCCCAGACAAGTCTAGTTCGATCACGGGGGTGGGGACTGCAGAAGACGGCCCRGAGTTACCCTGAGCCTCAGTTCGTGGCACCGTAGGCGTCACTGATTCAGTTCCCACCACAGTTTTGAGGGCGTGAGCACGGCCCTTGGACTTGCGCTTCACACTTCCAGAGAATCCGCACACCATTGCTGCAAAATAAATACGCATAAAATTAGAGATCAGAGAAAAGAAAAAATTGAAGTCGAGATCGAATGCGGCTTACCGAGCTCGGAGTTTGGCCTCGAAGCTTCAATTGGTCGAACCAGAGGGTTGTAGTCAAGTARCCCCGACTCCAAGAGCAGCTTGTCGGTGACCAAGGTTCCGATCTTCCGGCCCTTGGGGAAGGTGTCCTTGTAATATTTGAGGGTGTCGAAGGTGGCTTGAGTGAGCTCAGGAATTGGCTTGATCGATACTGCACAAAGCAAACAAAAGTTCGGGTTAAATGCGAATATCGAGAAATTAAAAGAAAAAGAAAACAAGAAAGACTTCATACCTAGGTTCCCAAACCTAGCAGGCACGTCAAAAAAGAGACGACCTGACTCGTCCTTTGCCAGCCATTCACCTGAGGCAAAGAACCACTTACCTACCCATCCTTTGATGGAGGTCGGCCCCTTAACTATACCACCTGCGCCCTTCCTCGCGCACATATAATACCGACCAGGTTTTTTAGCTATCCTCCTGGCCTCAAAACACCCAAGAAGTTGGTCAACGCTTAGTAGATCGGCCTCATCCTCGTCCCGAGCTCGCAACCAAAAAAGAATGGCTAAGGCAAAAATGACACCCCACCCATTAGGGGCCACTTGTGCCGGCGCCAAACCAGTTCGATTGAGAAACTCTTGAGCAAAAGGGTGAAGAGGAAGTCTGGGGCCGTACTCAAACATTTTTAAGTAAAGAGTGACCCATCCCTCTGGAGGATTGTCAGCTCTTTCCCCTTCCTCCGGAATCCTATTGAGGATGTCATTCGGAATTTTAAACCCCCTACGGAGGGGTCCGAGATAGTGCTCGGGCATCCTAGAAGGGTACTCCAGACCCTAGCCCGAGGTAGAGGTATCACTATCCTCTCCATCATCTGAGAACCTAAAGTTCTCAATTTCTTCTAGCTCGGACTCTAACCTACGAGCTAAGACCTCCCCAGAATCACTTGGTTTGGGGGGTGAACTACTTATAGTCCGACCTACACTACCTAGGCTATCACTACTGGAGGGGGAAGACAAGAAAACTACCATGTTTGAAAGAAGAATAAGAGCAAGGAAAAGTGACTGACCTACACAAAGGGTTCGAGCTGGTTTCAGATCGAACTCCAGAAATTCAGGAAACGTAAGGTTTGACCTGAAGTTTCGGGACTATTTATAGCTAATCGGAAAAACATATGCGTCGTACACGTGTAATCAACGAGCGGCTAGGATCTTCTCGAGATACGCAACGGCGGAATACTTGAGTGCTCCGACAACCTGGCAGATCGAAACGTCTTCCGCAACGGTCACATTCCCTCTACAAATGAAAAGTCGCCACGTGTCCGGAATGGATTCGAACGAACTTCTCTGTCAGGTCGAGATCGAACCTGACAGAGAGGGGGCCAATGTTTGGGGGTAAACATACCCAAGACACGTGGAGGACCCTCATTAGTGTTTTGGGGGAACTGAATAAAAAGGACTGCCTAGGTCCACCTCGGCCCTACCGAGGAGACCAGGTTCGCCCGTTATAAAAGACTAAGTATGGGCACCAAGGTTCGACCTGATTGGGGTCCGACCTGCTCGGAACCCGACAGGTCCGATATGAGAAAAGACATATAACCGTCGGTCGTGTGTACTGTTGGATCCATCACCTATAAATAGAGGGCTTCATTTCACACTCAGGTATCGAATCTCACCTCGAACTAAATACGGAGTCCGATCTATACTGACTTGAGCGTCGGAGTGCTTATCCTCTTGTGCAAGTCCACTCTAGTGTTTAGGTCGGAACCGGAGACCGGGTTCGAGCTCGATTCGTGAAGAACCGTTGTGCAAATACCTACATAAACACGATCTATCAAAGTTTTCAAGATTGGCCATGCAAGTTCGTTCATTTAGAAGAGTACGTGTTATGTTTCTTACATAATTTAAACTTCTCGCATTGACCACTACGCAGTGAGACTTTTGACAGCAAATTCTTTATGCAGTGTAGCGGATAAACCGCTTTAAATATTTTATTTTAAAAACTCAATTTTTGTTTTTGTTTAAATTCAACAAATTCACTAGAGACAAAAACTCAATTTTAAAAAGAGAGAGCTGTTGTGAGTGTGAGGCCCATAATGTTTCTGGACCAAGGCCCACAATTCGACCATCCATTAGTGGAGCCCATAATCGTGTGATGGGCTGCATCAAAGCCCATAATTCTGCTACTGGCTGGATCAAAGCTCTAATTTACAACAGAAAAAAACCCGCCTGTTTACCTACGAGGAATCAGAATGAAAATCAATCGGAATAAGAATGTTATTCCATGATGTTTACAAAAATTTTCTGGAATCGGAATCAGAACTCCTTTGATATTGTTTATTAAAATTGTCTAGAATCGGAATCGGAATCGAATATATGACAATTACTAGTATACCCTCATCTTCTTTCTAACTAATCACAAATCCGTAGTGCCAATTTTTTTAATCACAATTATAATTTATTTTATTACTATATTATTGATAGTAAATATTATTTACCAAAACAATTTATGTAATATTAATATTAATAAATAATAAATAATTAAAATAAAATTACATCTAATAAAATACTATTTTATTAGAACCATCATCCTTTAATATAAAATATAATTAAATATTATTAGTAATAATGTTATTAAATTTTATTATTATAATAATTAATAATAATGAATTATATTTTAGAAAATTTGACATTAATTAATAATAACATAATTAAATTAAAATGTTAAATATTAAATATTTTATAAAATATCACATTAACGGATAAAAGTGATATAAAATTTTATATTATTAATAATATAAATGAAAAAGAAATAAAAAAAAGTATACAACAACTAAATAAAAAATTATGAGTCTCATTAATGAGGATGAATATAATAAATATGTGGGACCCACAAAATAAGAAATAGGAATGAGATTGATGAGGTGTAGGATAAGAATGAGATTGTCCCTTTTTAGGGAATGATAATAAAAAAAGCGGGTGAGTCCCACCCTTTGATAAGAATGAAGTAAACATGGCGATAGTTCAATACTTTTAATATCCAACAGTTTTTATGGTTTCACTGCTTTTTTTCTTTTTTCTTTTTTTCTTTCTTTTTTGAGTTAGTTTCGATACTTCTCTTAGTTCTCTACTTTGAATAGTTTCCATTCTGGATATCAATGTTCAAGTTTTCATTTTTCATATTTTAACCACATACCGTACAACAGTGTACATTAATTAACCTTTGAATGCACAAACTTGTTTTCGCAGAAAGAGTTGGTAGTAATTCTCAACTCTTAAAGGTAGTATCTATATGAATAGCGCAGTATCTTTTCGGTTACGGAAATGCTTTGACATTGATCTCGAAATAAAGACACACACACATATATATATTCCGACATAAGCATAGTGTAACGATAAAAACATCTACTTCTTTGGAAGTTCAAATCTCGACACCAATGTTCCTGTAGTAAATGAAGAATCCAGCCTCACTATCAATCCCGTTGACACCCCGAACATGACCGATATAAAAAAAATCCCCTTGAACATGGTTTAATTAAAAACCATTACAGCCTTGACATGCCAAAATGAATCTCTTCAACGTGGCCTTAGCAAGTTCCGATTCTCATCTGCTACAAATGGCAGAAAAGGCATGTTTTGTTTCGGGATTGAAGGCGAAACTTAATGAATTGCTACTGCTTAGTTGATGACATGTATAAAAGTCTGATCCAAAGTTCTCTAAGTACATATCTAAAGTAATACTGTTATAAATAATTATTCAGTACATGGAAAGAGAAGGCTGTAAGTAAACACTTCTTTGAGGTCATCTTTGGCTATTATAAGAAAAGCTGCTGCATTTGTGCCTACAAGAGGAAACGGATTTTGGATTTTGGAAAAGGATTTACATCATGTTGCGGTAGCGAATTCCGCTCTGCATTACTGGTTCTTGAAAGACTGCAACAAAATCGAACAGGCATTAGGAAATCTCTAGCTGTTCAAGATTTAAAAGTTAAAGATGTGCAAAGCGCTAACCTCAAAATTTTTGGACAGATCTTTCACCTGTTCCGCAAGTTCTTGCTTCTTCTGCGCAGCTGCAAGGCAATTCCAAAGTCTCGTTAGCATAAGTTAAATCAGCTCAGCAACCAACGACAGAAGTTAAATCGATGCAAATGAAGCAAAAAGGGTACAGTTTCTACCCTTGGTAGATATATCCTCGATTTGTTTTGACGTCCTCACAGCAAACCTTTGAAACGTACGGCTGGAAAAGGAAATTGAGAGAATGAAATAATTGCTCAACAATGAACGGTTAATACCCAACTAAACAACATCGTGAGTATAGTTATGTAAACAAATGTCACTTTTCAGTTTTCACTAAGCTTGAACATGTTCAATTCAATGGCATAAATGCTAGGGAAAGAATTCCTCGATGGCTCAACTCTAAAAAATATAATTAATATGATCTGCTCCACAATCATTACAAACCTACAAAGTGAACATTAGCTATGGTTCAAACGGGGGAGTAAGAGAGACAATCGTGGTGAGAGCAGAAACACTATTCCAGAGCCCAAAATAACAACAGTTGGTCGAAGCCGCTTGATGCAGAATTTTGAATAGAACATATAAGTATATGAATATAAATGAAGGGGACGGTGAATAAACAGAATTGTGTAAAGAATTCATAAAATAAAATAAAAATCAGTTACAAAAGTTGGAATCCAAGCAACTGGCAATCTTAAGCTCGTGGGACCCAATTCGTGGTATTTTGTGGGGGATTTGGAGAGAGCAGAATCGAAGGGTCTTCAACGACATCTCTCTCCCCTTTGATTCTCTTTGAGAGAATATTCTTACTTATGGTGTCTAAACTATAAGAAATTCTTTTGTAATTACAGTTAGCTATGCTTTGGTAGGATTAGAAAGCTGTGTGAGCCTAACTTTTGGGGGGGCTTTCTCATCCCCTCCCCCTAGGTTGTTCTTTTATGTAATTAATACAAGTTATTTCTGTTTCTTTGAAAAAATAGCTCGTGCGACCCAAATCATTAAAATATAAGGGAATGCCCGCACTTATTTTCATAATCTACCCATAACATAATGTTAGGACCCAATAGTGAAAACTTACTCTAGAAGGGGTAGGAAAGGAATTGTGTTGGGGGGTAAGTGAGTAATTGAGTATGAGAGAAAAGAATAACGGTTTTGGGGGTGGGGACCACCGTGGGAATGCGATGAGTAGAAAAGGGAGGGAGAATGTAGAGGGAAAGCATCTTGGTTGTTAGTGCATAGTAGGTGTTTAGGGGAGACTACCCACCCTCTCGAATTGGTGGGGTGACTGTACTGCCTGAGGGCTTGTTCTTCCATCGATTATCAATTCCAAAAGTGAGGAGATACCTCACAAATTGGTATCAGAGCAGTATGCTCTAGGAGGATCACCGGAGAATGACGGTGAAGGAGCTGGAAGCAAGGTGCGATGCTACAGAGAAGGAGATGGATGACCTGAAGGGAGTAGTCACGGTTCTGTGTGGGAAAGTAGATGAACAACAGAAGATGACCGCTAAGATCCAGATGATGCTGGAGAGCTTCATGGCCGATATTACCGGCGGAGCTGCTTCGTCGATTTCGCATTTAGGCAAGTCTTCACTGCCGAAAAGCAAGCAAACCGACGATTCCACGAGGATCATCCAGATTCACGAGGCCGGATACGATCGCAACAAATTTAAGAAGGTGGAGATGCCTATCTTCACATGTATGGATCCTAATTCTTGGCTATTTAGAGCAGAGCGTTATTTTGAAATTCACAAACTAACTAATGAGGAAAAGCATATTGTATCTGTAATAAGTTTCGATGATGTCGCGTTGGCTCGGTACCGCTACCATGAAAAGCGGAATCGGTTCACCGGTTGGGACAATTTGAGAAGCCGATTGCTGGAACGATTTCGGAAGGCGAAAGAAGGGAGGCAGAGTGTGCGAGTGTTAGCGATCAAGCAGGAGGGCTCAGTTGCAGAGTATATCGATACGTTTGAAGCTCTGTCAGCGCCGCTCCCTCATCTCTCTGATGAAGTCTTGGAGTGTGCTTTCCTAAATGGGCTCGACCCGGTGGTGCGGGCAGAAGTGTTGGCTACGGAGCCCAAAGGCCTGGACCAAATCATGAAGCGGGCCCAATTAATTGAGGGTGTTGCCACGGCGGTCCAAGAGGTAGGGGAGGGTTTATCAGAACGACAGTCGAAGATGGCAACTATGGCAGGTAAGGCGACTGCTCGACCTGGCGAATTGACTTCGACCCGAACTGTTACCCTAGCCAGTAAAACCAATACTGCCACCCCAAACGTTCCGGCACCAACAATCAGGAAAGAGGTTACCTACAAGCGACTAACGGAAGAAGAATACAAGAAGAGAAGGGAGTGCGGCCTCTGCTTCAAACGCGAAGAAAAATATACAGTCGGCCATCGATGTAAGAACCAGCAATTGAGAGTGATAGTGGTCCATAACGATGAGGAACTGGACCCGAAGGAAGAAGAGCAAAGGATCGAAAAGGAGGACTCTCCCGGAGACAAGGGAAAGGCTGTGATGTGCCACTTGAATACGATTGTGGGTTTATCAACTCCGGGTATGATCAAAATACGAGGAACTTTGCAGGGGAGAGACGTGGTAGTCCTGCTGGATTGCGGAGCTATGCACAATTTTCTTTCGCAGAAGCTGGTCAATGAATTGAACATTCCGCAGTCGGATACATTCAGCTATGGAATCATCACGAGTACTGGAACAACCGTAAAGGGCCAAGGAATCTGTAATGGGGTTGTGTTAGAACTCCCAGAGATTACGGTAGTGGAGGATTTCTTACCGATCAAATTGAATGATTCGGATGTAATCCTAGGGATGAAATGGCTGCAATCCATGGGAAAAATGGAGGCTGATTGGCCATCCTTATCCATGTCTTTTGTCCGAGGAAACAAGAGAATTACCTTGAAAGGCGATCCGACTATGAGGGCTATGTGGTGGAACTGCGAGCCATGACAGCCCAAGGAGGTGAGGCTATTGATGAATTAGACGTTCAGAGTAGAGCTTTACTGCCACCAGTGCAGCAGCTCCTCGCAGACTATTAGGATGCCTTCCATCATACGGATCTACTACCTCCCCAACAGGCGATTGATCACCGAATTCCGATTAAGGACAGGGTGGCTCCAGTGAACGTTCGTCCTTATCGCTATGCTTACACACAGAAGGAAGAGATTGAGAAAATGATCGGGGACATGATACAAAAGGGGATTATCCAACGGTGATACTAGTAAAAAAAAGGATGGGAGCTGGCGTTTTTGCGTGGATTACGGGGCCCTTAACAATGTGACCGTCCCGGACAAATTCCCCATCCCGCTGATTGAGCTACTTGATGAACTAACTACATGGGTCCCGTATCTATTCTAAAATAGATCTTAAGTCTGGGTATCACCAAATTAGAATGGTAACCGAGGATGTGCAAAAGACAGCCTTCAGAACCCACAAGGGTCATTACGAATTCTTAGTAATGCCCTTCGGTCTAACCAATGCCCCTGCCACATTCCAATCTTTGATGAATCGGATATTCCGCCCATTCTTACGTTAGTTTGTGCTTGTCTTCTTCAATGATATTCTCATTTACAGTCAAGATTTACATCCGCACATTACTCATTTGACTGTGGTGTTCAATCGGATCATTTCCTATACGCAAACCTTAAGAAATCTAATTTTGCAAAAGACAAGGTGGAGTATCTGGGACACTGGGTGTCGGCCGAAGGGGTGGAAGCGGACCCTGAAAAAATTTGAGCGATGTTGCAGTGGCCTATTCCAACCAATATACGGGAGCTGAGGGGTTTTCTTGGCCTGACTAGGTATTACAGGAAGTTTGTGATAAACTATGGATCGTTAGCAGCCCCTCTCACTCAATTGTTATGAGAAGATGCCTTCGAATGGACCAAGCAAGCCACGGAGGCCTTTGAACAGCTGAAAACAGCGATGGTGACGCTGCCGGTCTTGGCCCTGCCAGACTTCAGTCTTCCGTTTGTGATTGAAACTGATGCATCTGGGACAGGGTTGGGAGTTGTACTTACCCAGGAGCAACGCCCATAGCCTATTTCAGTCATACGCTATCACGTCAAGGCCAGGCAAAGTCAGTTTATGAGCGTGAGCTCATGGCATTGACATTGGCCATTCAAAAGTGGAGGCCCTATTTGCTTGGACAGAAATTCATCGTGTGCACGGATCAGCAAGCCCTGAAGTACCTCTTAGAGCAGCAGATTGTACAACCAGAGTACCAGAAATGGGTCTCTAAGCTCCTTGGTTATGACTTCGAGATCCAATACAAGTCGGGCCTTGAAAACAAAGCAGCCGATGCCTTGTCGAGAATGCCTCCTAATCCCCATCTCACTGTCATGACTGTTCCAGCCTTGCTCGATGTCGAATTACTGAAGGCAGAAGTCCAAGCTGATCCAACTTTATTAAAAATCTTGACAGAGTTAACCACTGATTTGGACAGTCATCCTAAATATAACCTACAACGGGGAGTACTCTGCTACAAAGATCGCATGGTGATCTCAAGCACTTCTGCCATGAAACCGGCCATCCTGAATTTGTACCACAACTCCATCATGGGGGGTCACTCGGGATTCTTAAGAACCTACAAGAGGATAACTAGTGAACTCTTTTGGCAAGGTATGAAAGTTGATGTCAAACACTTTGTCGAAGCATGCTGCATTAGTCAACGTAACAAGGCCTCCACAGTGTCACCAGCCGGCCTACTTCAACCATTGCCTATTCCCGATCGGATCTGGGAGGATATTACAATGGATTTTGTGGAGGGCTTGCCAAAATCCATGGGGTATGACACGGTGTTCGTTGTTGTGGATCAACTGAGCAAATATGCTCATTTCATTCCACTTACTCATCCCTTCACTGCCAAATCAGTAGCGGCAGCGTTTGTCAAAGAAGTGGTGTGACTACACGGGTTTCCACAGTCGATCATCTCTGATAGAGATAAGGTATTCCTTAGAAACTTCTGGACCGAACTTTTTCGCATTCAAGGCACTAAATTGAAGCGCAGCACAGCCTACCACCTACAAACCGACGGCCAAACAAAGATTGTGAACAAGTGCCTCGAAACTTATCTTCGCTGTTTCTGCAGTGAAACATCACGAACATGGGACAGTGGCTTCCGTGGGCAGAGTATTGGTATAACACCACTTTCCACAGCACTTTAGGTGCCACCCCCTTTCAAGCTGTCTACGATCGCACGCCCCCACCACTCTTATTCTATGGCAGCCAAAAGACGTCCAATGCAGCTCTAGACCAACAATTAGCTAATCGGGACTCTGCTCTTACGGTCCTTAAGGACAATCTACTTCAAGCTCAGAACCGAATGAAGAAAATGGCTGATCGCCATCGTTTAGAGAAGGAATTCCAAGTGGGAGACGAAGTGTTCCTCAAAATCCGCCCCTACAGGCAGCGGTCCTTAGCCGAGCGTCGAAATGAGAAGTTGTCGGCCAAGTATTTTGGTCCCTACTGCATCCTACAAAAGATTGGCCCCGTGGCTTATAAGCTGGACCTCCCACCCGACACCAGCATCCAGTTTTGGCATTCTATTCTTACCACCTCAAGCCGACTTACTGACATTGCTTCAGATAACATTAGTCTTCTCAACATTTGCTACCGTGGTCATCCCTTTGGGCTTCAAGAATAAAGCTAAGCTACCATGGTTAAATATTTAAATTATACTATAGCTTTTCTATTGACATTCTGGTTAGAAATAAGAAATAACAATAGAATTTTTCTTAGTGAAGAGAGACCTTTTCTATTTTCAATTTTGTGGGATCACGTTGCATTAGTGGCTCTATCTTGGTGTAAGCTTTCTGAAAATTTTTGTAGCTTTGAGCTTTCTTCTTTATCTTTAATGAAGCTTTCCTCCCCTGCTAATTTACTATAATTCATACTTCCAATAAAATAACCTTTTATAAAAAAACAATACCCTAACATAATGGCTTAAATTCAGCCTCATACTGATCTAATATGATACCAAAGAAAGAAGAAGTCTTTAAGTTCAAATCTTTGTTATGTTTTCTTTATTCCATTCTATACTAATGTTCTACCTGTTGGAGGGAGCATATTACTAAAAACTGAACTAACCACGCACATGATAAAGGATTACAGGACTAAATTTACTCTAACTCAACTGCTTAAGCTTTCCATTCTGGCAGAGGCGATTTAACAAACATAGATCGATTCAATATTAGAAATAGAAAATGGATCTGCAGCGAAATTTTCTGAAATCTCCTAATGTGCAATCACAGCCATTTTATTTTTGGCAGAAGATAAACTAACTGCTTAGGTTTATAAGATTAAATTTACTCAAAGTCTAACTGCTTAAGCTGCCCATTCTATCAGTGCTTCAACAAACATATATAAGAAAGACATCAAATCTATATAAAACGAAAAAAAAAAAAAAAAGACTGTAGCAAAAATTTATCAAATCTTCACATCTGCACGCCCAACCATTTCGGCAGCAGATAAACACAAAGGAAAATTTGAGGACGTTTTGCTTCAATGGAACGAGGCAAATAGGAACTAATTGGTCCCTCCAGCCAGAGAATGAAGCTTCTTATCATATAAAATCATCATCATCCAATTCAAATACATGAAATTAAGCCTGAACACAAATTACCTGTTGGCAAGACTATCGACAAGCAGCTCATTCACGAGATAAGAAACTACTCTGTGCACGAAATTTCCACCCGCCATGCTCGTATCCACGGATTACAACAAATCAATAGCAATTCAGATGCCTACTTGATGTGTATGCCTGGGCTGAAAGCTGAAAATGAAAGAAGAAATCGCAGAAACTGCTTTTATCTTTCTTTTAGAACCAACAAAATTGGCATAGACTATAAAAACTCGTGAAACGTAAAGCAGAACTGTTTAAGCAAAATTCTTCGATTGATGAAATATAATGCATACAAAGGGATTTGCAATCAAAGAAAGTGGATCGAAAAAGATGAATTATGGAAATTTTTACCTAAACAATTCCGTCGCGAGGAGGATGCTTCGATGCCCTAGTTCTTCCTACGCTGCAGCCAGATTTCTCGTAGCCTTATTTTAGAGAGACAAAAAAATAGAAAAATAAAAAATCTCAATTTTGTCCTTTTTTTTTTTTTTAAATTCTGAAATTTTGTCTTTGTTTCAACTTTGCTATGTCGTGGAAATCACCTTGGCCAATTTTGGCAAGTTCGGCACTGCCACGATCTGCACGGAACGGATCACTCATTCTTCCACGTTATAGGATCAGTTTTCGATAGAGAAACAGGGAAGTTGGCTGCAGTCGAGTCACTATCAAACAAGGAGCCTTTATTAATTTCGTTTAGTAAATAATTAATTTAAGTCTTACATATTAATTCAAATAATTGAATTGAGGGAATTTTTTTAATTTTTTTTTTTTTATATTTTCAACAAATGATAATCGAATCTTTCTGTTAGCTTTCCCAAAATCAAAATTCATTTGTGAATCAGAATGAAAGGAGTTCTGAATCTCATTTCCTCGAGAACCAATATATCATATCCTCGTCAATTTTTCTTCAAAATTAATACAACTTTGAATTCAAATGTGTATTTGTTAGAATTGAATAACATACTTAGAAAATTTTGTAAAAATTTTTTAAATTTTCACTTTTGAAAAATTATTTAAAAATAAAAAATGAAAATATTTTAAGTGAATTGATTAATTGAAAAATTACACAAAATTAATTAATTAATTAAAACATTAAATAATTAATTAAAAAATAAAACATATTTCATTAAAACTTTTAAGAATAAGTCATGATAGAAAATATTAGTTATGTTTTGTAATTACGTATTTTTATTTGTCATTTTCAATCTAAAGTTTCATATTTTCTTCTTTCAAATAAAGATAATACGATAGAGATTCTATTTAACGTAAATCCGTTTAATCTCTATTTGTGTTGCCCATATTGATATATGTCTCCGCCTCTAAAACCTCAAAACTTATGTTTTCTAACCAACATTATTTTCATGTGAAATTTTATATTCGCCATCATTTTGAATTTCCCCGCTTTCTCTTCCCTTTTCATCTCCTCCCTCTTTTCTCTCCATTTTTTCTCTCTTTTGCTTGCAAGAGAAAGACAAATAAGAAAAAAAAAATCTCACTAGCTTTGCTCAATCCGTCTCCCCCCTTCCCCATTTTTTGTCCTTGTTATTTCTATCCCGATTCATGCCGATGGTGGAATATTGGAGTTCTGAAGGCCGACGGCGGTGGAGCAACCAATGACGATATGGACGATGGATGATACAATCGAAAAGCACACCTACACTATACGTTTCTCAGATCCGTCTCACTCTAACTCCGTTAGATTTTTTTCGTTTTCGCTCTCAATCAAATCTTGGCTGAGAGCGAGAGCATGACTGACAACTTGAGCGAGACCGAGAGTGAGAACTTGATTGAGAGTGAGACCGAGCACAAGATTGGAGTGAGAAATATTGAGGCATATTAATGTATATTTTCCAAAATTTTGTTTTCTTATTTAATTCAATATAATGTATATTTATCCAAATTTTATTTTATTTTATTCAATTTAATTCATTTATTGAAAATACACCTCTCCTTTTTTAGCAAAAATATATATAGATCCTTGAACCTCTCCCCTAATATTAATAACTATAATTATAATTCAAATTCAAATTTAAAATTTAATTCATGTAAAAGTAATATATCTTCCCATATATCTCTACTTAAATCTCCCTTAATATTAACTAAATTCAAATTTAAAATTTAAAATATCTCTCCTCTGATCTCCCCTTATTTTAATTATGATTGAAATTTAAATTTAAAATTAAATTGTGATAAAATAATTCTCGCTCGCGCTCTCGCTCCAAATCTCGAGCGCACCGGTGGTAGAGGATCCATATCCAGAGAGGATCGAGATGACGGCGACAGTAAAACTGGGTGGTGAGGTGTGATAGATTAGATCCATACAATTTTTAATTAATTTTTTTATACTTTTATAATTTCTTCTATATTTATACTCAAATTTTTTATGAGTGGATGTGATTTTACTATATAATATGATAAATTAATATTAATTAATATCAATAAATTTTTTAAATAGATATTATTACTTTTAAATATTAGAATAATAAAACTTAATAATATAAATATTAAAGTTTGGTTGTTCTAATAATATTTTATTTAATGTAATTTTATTTTAATTATTTATTATGTATTAATATTAGATAAATTGTTATAATAAAGAATATTTACTATCAAAAATATAGTAATAAATTAAATTAAAATGTATTATTATTGTATCACATAATATATTTGTAATTAGTAAAAAGGAGAAAGAGGTATATTAGTAATTGTTATATATCTGATTCCGATTTCATTTTAATTACGATTCCAGAAAATTTCTGGTAAACAACATCAAGTAACATTACAATTCGATTGATTTCATTACGATTAATTTTCATTGTGGATAAGTAAACATGACCTAAGTTGCATGATAAGATATAGGATGATAAAGAATTTGGCGTCAGCCTCAACCTTTAGTCAGCTTACTTCTTGTCTACGAATCATTTATCAAAACCAACTAAAACTTCTTGATTGTCAATTCCTCCAAAACATTTATATGCTGAGGCAACCGGTTTCTAGGTTTTTTTTTTTCCTTTTTATATATACCTTGATTCGGTTCGAATTTTTCAATTTTTAATATAAATCTAACCAAATATACAATTTTTCGTTTTGCTTAGACAAAAAGAACTCGAGTGTCCAATTTTCTTATAAACCTAATAAAACCATCTAATTTCAACTCGGATAAAGATTTGATTTGTGAGTTCATCGGTTTTAAACTTTTAATATTTGTAACTTTTTACTCTCTATGTATAAAAGCATGAGAAATTTTTTCTCCTCATTTTGTCATTTTATTCTAAATTTTTTAACTATTATTTTGAGGACAATTATATCCGTTAAATACAAATCTCTCTCATCTCCACCCTCTTTCGAAATGCTCCCTTTCTCTACTCTCACTTTCCAATGAGTCTTAATTATTGAATAACAGTGAAAGGTTGATTATTTTTGTTATTGTGGACTACAAAATTTTATTTTTATATTTAATAATGCCAAAAGTTATAATAGGTAAAGTTTTCTCTTTATTCATACAATTTAATAAAATTTCAAATTTGTATTATTTAATAATGTCAATACTTAGAATATGTAAAGTTTTGTTTCATTGTTTATGCGGATTAATTCAAAAAAGGTATGACTGGGTTTTGTAACTCTTTATCAGTTATATAAAGAGTTTTTTTTTCCCCAAATTTTCTCTCACCAAATATTATATATATATATATATATATCTTTTTTTTGTCAAAGCCAGAACGGTATTTGACATAGTGAGGTTGTGAGTTCGATCCCCCTCCCCTACATGTTGTAAAAAATATATTTAATATTCTTTTATCCACCAAAACTTGAGTATTTTTTTAAGGGAAGACTACTTACCTACAATATTAATGTATTCAAAAAGCTTAAAGAGGACATACTTGCTTCATTTAAGTATATGTCTTAAATTGTTTATATATTCTTGCTTGTTGTATGTTACTTATGGAAAATTTTCAAGTAATCGATGATTCTTATTTTTTATAGTCATTAAGGGCTTGTTTGGTGTTCCTGTTTCCTGTTTCTTATTTCTTCATTTTTAATGAAGAATAATGAATTGCATGACTCCAACATTCAAGAATTAAGTATGATAAAACAATATTTTTATTTATGTTTTGGAACAAATTAGAAATAGGAACAAGAAAGAAGAAACTTGTTTTGCGTGTCTTCAAAATTTCTATACAATTTTGAGAATGTTCATAAAAAATGAAAAACAAGTGTAAAATGCTTAATTTTCTTAAAAAAATTGGAAACGAGAAACAAGAAACAGGACCGTTACCAAACGAACCCTAAATTGACCAACTATATCAAGTGATGAGATTTACTACAACTTAAGTTTTATGAGGTAAACCTAAGAAATACGAAAAAGTTGGTGAGGTAAATATAATAAGAGAAAATAATTAAATTATATTAAAAAATTTAACATTTTAATTAGTTTCGATATTTATATACTTTAAAATAAAACTATGAAATTTCACGTGCAATGTCTTTCTTACTTGTGTATATATATATATGTGCATAACACCCCGTGGCAGAAGGATAGAACCGTTGCCATTTCTCTCTCCTAAATTCCACTTTGCTGTTAAATTTGTTTGTTTTCTTTGTTATTGTAGACTCCCACTCGCCTTAGTTTAGTCTAGTTCATCATTTTTCTTGCCTAATTTGAGACTTCAAAAACATAAAACATATACTTTTTTCTCTATACTTCTTTTTCATATTTATCATGTCAAATTGTTAAGTATTATTCTTAAAGCGCAGCACATAGTATTATAGGAGAGAACGTTAATAATGGGTAAAAAAAATGTGAAATCTATCTGTTACTAATAATCAGAATAAAGATTTAAGATCTGTCGACTTTAAGATCTTTAGATATGAAATTAAAACCTATCAACCGATTTATGATAACAAAATCTATATGCTATGATAAAAGATTTAAAATCTATCAACTTTAGAACCTTTAAATTTATGAGTTTAAAACCTACTTTATTTATGATAAAAAAATCTAATTGCTCTCCATAATCAGGATAAAGATTTAACATCAGTCAACCACATTGTTCCACCGCAAATGACTGTTTCTATAATATGAGAAATGTCATTTTATCCTTGGAAATTGGTTTCCGCTTTTTGGCTACAATGTATTGGAATCTCTAGTTAGAAGTTAGAACCAAACATAAGTTCTTCAATTATAATATAGAAGACACGTGATCGGAATCGACCAAAGAAATGAACCTCTACCGACCAGAGAGGCCCAACCACGCAACAACGAAGGGAAGACCGAGACGATCAGTCAACCACATTGGTTGAGGTGCCCATATCCATGAATCCCTGTGATCCAATAACAATGAATTAAATGGACCCAACAAGAATGTTATAGGAGACATAATTCTTATGAATAGAACTACTGGCTAAACCCTAGAGGTAAGCAAAAATACCCTAATGACTTTAGTGAGTAATTCTCCCATAACTGATTTAAGCATCGGAACCTGTGTGACTGAAGTTAGCTCGATTTTTGCAGGTATTCAGTCCCATGATCATCATCGAGTTTGGTACAATTTTGGGGAGAATCAAGGAGGCTACAATTCCAGCATCAACAATATTTTTCTTGACGATGTAATTGTAATTTATGTTAGCTTTATCATGGTAGAAACTAAGAGACATGGAAATTGTTTTGCATCTTCTTTTGCCCGGCTTTTATCTCTCCTCCCGGAGAGACGCTCCTCCTCTTCTCCCATCTCCGATCCCCTTAGTCTTATAATTTACTTTTCAAATCCAACTCAATGTTAGGAAAAAGCCGTTTAATTATGTCAGAAAAACAAATTTTCAAACCTCAAGCCAATTTTGCTAACAAAAAAAACTAGGATCCGAATGGTCAATATAAGCTCATTATTTTTGTTATATTAACTAACAATCAAATGACTAAAATAAGTATTTCTTAAATTCCACATCGGCATGCGAATATTTTCCGATCCGGTGAATATTACCGTTATACGAACATTTTCAAATGATTTTTGTATAATTAAGAGTAACTTTAAATAATTAATTAGAAAAAAAAGTTAGAGAAAAAACAAAAATGATAGAGACAAATAAATTTAAATATATATAGGATAAAAAATTTAGAGACATTATAAAAATTTGGTTGAAAAATATTTTTAGTCCCGATTGGAGTAACAATTTAGTCCTTCAACTTTAGCTTGTAACGATTTAGTCCACCAATTTTAAATTTGTAATGTTTTAGTCCCTATTATGAAACATTTTGTTAAATTTCTTATACATTTAGATAGATAAATGGATGAAGGGCTTTATAAATTACAAAGACTAAATCGTTATAAAGTAAAAATCGATACTTAATTTTGATAAAATTAATTGTTAAAAATCTTAAACTATAACAACTAAATAGTTACGTTAAAGTTCATGGACTAAATTGTTGCTAATTTAAAAATAAAAAAGACTAAATCGTTACCAACTAAAGTTCATAGTATAGACACCAAATATGTTTTTTAAACTGAAAATTTTATAAAGAAAAGAATTGACGGAGACACAAATTTTAGAGCATTTTCAAATTTAAGATGAAGATTAGACGATATAGATAGACAAATGTGAAATTTAATTCGAAAAGATTTAAAAATTAATTTTTGAGCAAAAAAACATTAATGCTCCATTTGACCTTTGAAATTTGTTAGAAATGATTTCAAATTCTATGATTTTAAATGATGGGAATGATTTCAAATTCCTAATTACATTTGGAACCAATAAATCATTAAAATTAAAATTTATTGTTTGGATGTTCGTCAGTATAAAATTTTACTATTATGCCCTTAATATTTTGTAGAATATTATATTATTAATAATATAATATTTTAATATAAACTAGTAATTTCAACCAGGAAAAACATAAATAATTTAATCAAATCAACCTAACAAAAATTAAAAATTGTCAACATTATTTTATTTTAAAAATAAAAAAAAACTTACAAATTTTTTTATTCAAATACTAACAAAATTCTTAAAATCAAATTATTTCAATTTATTTAAAACAATTTGTTTCTTTTTATTTTTATCATAGTTATTTTATGATATACAGTACACAAAAATAAAAAGCAAAAGGAAAAAAGAAGAAGAATATACCAAAAAACATAAACATATAAAGAACTAAACAATATTGAAATATAAAGAATCTTAAAAACACCAAAAACAAAATAGAAAATCAAACTTTATTATTGTGGTGATGCAGACAAAAAAAAGGCTAGTTTAGAGTTATTAGAAAAAGAAAAACTACCTACCAATCAAATTTTGAAACTAATTTGATCGATGATGTACAAATAAAGGTCCGAGAATAAGTTTTTTCAACCAAGCAGGGCAAAATTAGAATTTGTTACATTTAAATTTAAAACCATACAAATCGAACCTATTTCAAACAAAAAATATTTAAAGAAAAACAGAATTCGAAATCATTTAAAAAAATAATTTCAAATATTATATTTTTTTATTTATTCAAACACCATAAATGATTTCAAAATCCGTTAAAGGTTTTGAAATCCCTCGAGAAGTTCCAAACAGGGGTAAAAGAAAAATCACGTTTCAAGTTATTGACGGAAAATTATTTAAAGTGATTTTTGAAGTTAGTCCAAAATCACAAAAAATCGAAGAAAAGGCAGATTTGAAGGGAAGCTGCGCTGTGCATCAATGGAGGCTCAGGGGACGCCGATTTTCAACCTGCTGGTGAGGCTGTTAGACGGGAAAACCCTAGCTCTCAAATTCAAATCCCCTTCCGTGGACGCCCATGCCCTCAAGCAGCGTCTCTTCGAGAGCACTGGAATTCCCCCAAATCGGCAGCGTCTGGTCACCGGCGTCCGCCAGATCGACGAGGATTCGGTGATATCCTGTTCTTCATCTTCCGTTCATCTTCTGCTTCGGCTGGTCGGAGGCAAGGGTGGATTCGGATCGCTGCTGCGTGGCGCGGCGACGAAAGCAGGTCAGAAGAAGACGAACAATTTCGACGCGTGTAGGGATATGAGTGGGAGAAGGCTGAGGCATGTGAATGCGGAGAAGCGATTGGAGGAGTGGAAGGCGGAGGAGGAGGAGAGGAGATTGGAGAAGATCGCCCACCAGTTTCTCAAGAACAAAGCCAAGGTTGGGAAGAAGGGGGTTGGGGATTCTGCCGCTCAAATCTACGTCGACAAGTACAGGGAGGAGTCTGCTCGTTGCGTCGCGGAGGTCGAGGAATCCGTCAGAGATGCTGTAATCAACGCTGCTAATCGGAAAAGGAAGGGTGGCTGTGGCTTGATGACAGCAAATGGAGCAGATCCCACAAAGTTCAAGATCTGGTTAGTATTTTATCTATCTATTGCTTTTCTTTGTTGTGTTCCATTATGTTTTAGTTTGCTAGCTGGCGTTACTAGATTGTTTGATTACTGAAAGTTTTTCATTGAATTTGTGGCAATTTGCAACAATCTTTACATAGCAACAACCACTATGGATGAAACCAATAATTTCATAGATTGCATTTGTACGAAATTACTCGAAAGGGGAGGAGAGCCCAGCCCCAAGCCGAGGAAAGATCACTCCAAAGATCTTGCTTTTGCTATGAAAGATCCAATCAATTGTAGCCACAGAGGAGGTTATCTTGGAATCTAGTTGCAAAGGGGCATTTGAGTAAATAATGACCCTTCTCATATAAACTTCCTTGCAAAGAATACAACAGGAAGGGATAGATAGGGCTACAGACGGGTTCATTTGTTGCATGACCTCCTGAGTTTTGAATGTTAACACTCATAATTAAGCAAAGAAGTTTACCTTTCTTGGGTATTTAGCATGCCAAATTTTCATGTAAGGTTGATTAGGAGGAATGTCTTGTCTCACAAAATCCAAGAAGATTGATCTGACTACGAAGAGACCAGTGGTGTCGAAAAGTTCAACATAAAACTTCCGGGGTACCAGTGAGATAAACCGTGAGGAGAATTACAAGTAGGGGAGCCAATTCCATTATCCAAAAACTATCTTCAAAAGGCAAGATCTCAAGTTTGGGTGGAGAGGGGTTCCATGAGTTTCCAACTGTAATCAACTTTCAGGTGGGAAAAGGTGGAGAGTCTAGGATATAAATAGTGAAGAGGGCTATCCTCGTTTCACCAATCAGGCCAAACTATGGTAGCAACTATTGTTCGCTGTTGTTGACATTTTCTTTTTCTTTTGTTTTCTTATAATTTTTTGTCTTTCTGTTCAGTCTTGGAGAGAGATTACCTCTGATTTCTTCAAATAATCTATGAGACTATTCCATAATAAGCGTTTCATTCGCTCATTAAGATCCATGAATTTTCCTTTCCATTGTAGCTTCTGATAGGACCAATCTTATTTATGTAATATTACCACAAGAACAGAGGGATTTTCGAGAGGTCCCTTCTCTCCTACAAGCTCAAAAGGGTCCCAAACAAAGGATATCAAAAGCATAAAAGAAAAAACGTCTCTCCCTTCCGCTCACCCAATATAACAGTACCTGTAACTAAAAATATTCTATTGGGCCCACATAACAACTCAAAAGAAACATCAAGGCACACTACCCCTAATTCTTACGTCCTTCTTAAATTCTTCTTCCGTACATAAACTTTAGTAATAGGGAGTCTATCAGCTTCCTCCTTATAACCCATGCTGAAAAGTTACATACTAAAAAGCTCCATTTAGAAGTGAAGGCTACAATGTTAACTTTAGCTGAGATGACTATAATCTTCAACATTTTATTTATTTGTTCTTTAATTTCCTCATTTTTTTAACGAGGGAGCAACTTTTCATTAAAGTAAAAAGTTGCAAAGTTTTCAACTTCTTATAGGAGGAGTATACAAAGATCCCGTATTGCCTTACATATTAAGAAAGATGCGAACAAATATGTAAAATAAGCCCCAGAAGTTTAACAATCAGCATTAGAAAGAATATCCAAACCCCAAGCTCAACAACAAATAAATGGAACATGTCATTAAAAGGTAGCCTATACATGGAAGATGGATCTAACCAACTAAGAACATATTTTCCATTGAACCACCAAAGGATAAAATCTGGCCAAAAATACTGCCAAGAAGCTATAACTGAAAAGGACCAAAAAGAATTGTCCTAATAAGTCTTGACGGACCCTTGAGATTTACCCGGATAAACAGCCTGCCTCCCTTGCAGTGAACTACCTTACTGAAAGAGAAATTTGAAAATAGGCATGTTCTTTAAAATATTAGAGTTATTTTTTGTTTATGAGGATGGGAAAGAGAGATTATAAATTGGGATAATGCAAGTTGAAAAGTTCCTTGGAAACAAATTTTATTGCGGTTCTCAGACATTTAGAAAAATGAGATAATGTAGCAATACCATCACTCTCTTCTATTTGTCAAGTATTGAAGAATTTTTTAGTAACCGGAGAATTTAAATGTATTCATTCCCCATATATTAACCAGAGTATTTTCTTATTAGCTTTGTGCCATWTATTTTTGTTTGCCAGGATGGGCAAGAGGAAATTGGGTGAAAGTGACAGTGATGGTTCGGATGAGGACAACACTGATAATGAAGAGGAAAGCAAGAAATCAGTCATCTTGAACAGTGGTTGTAAACCTGATTTAAACAAGGACACTGAAGGGAGCTCAGACTCTGTTAGCTGTGGTAAACAAGGCGATGTTTCTGGTGAGGCCTCGTGCGAAAGCGGTTCCGAGGAAGAAAAGGACATGGCAATTCAGGAAATCATGGCATTAGTTGGATGCTCTAGTGAAAAAGCTCCTCATTCTGAACGGATTGATGTGGTTGAAATGAACAACCATACTACTCAGGGTGCAGATGTACCTTGTGCAGAGGCTGTTGCTATTTCTGCCGATCAAGAAATTGAGGCTGTTAAACAGGATGCTGACGAGGTTGCRATTGTAAACTCAGAAAACCGTCAAGACACATCAGGTCCAAATAATGGTGAAACTATTGAAGATCTATCCACACTTCCTGAACCAAATGGCTCTCCAGTGTCCAAGTTGAGTGCTCCCAAAGAAACAGCTGCAAGTAGATGCAATTCAGAAGAAGCAACACTGAATTTTGATGATTTTAGTTCTGCTGCAGAAATGGAGGTATGTATGCTCAACAAGTYCAATTATAATTTTCCCATACCCCCAACGGTTTTAACGTCTTTGTAGCATTATAATTCTCATAATAAAATAGTAAATAATTTTGGCTTAATTATCAACAGGTTGTTGGATTGGAAAGGCTAAAGAGTGAACTGCAAGCAAGAGGGTTAAAATGTGGAGGTACTTTGCAAGAGAGGGCAGCCAGGCTTTTCCTCCTCAAGTCTACCCCTCTGGACAACCTTCCAAAGAAGCTTCTGGCCAGAAAGTAACTCACTGTAGATTTTCCTTATCTGACTTTTTACTCTTACACAGCCACCAAAATTAGGAAGAATTAAGTTACTGTAGTGTGGCTTTTTAACTGACTGTGGTCTGCACGGTTGTGTGTATTCATACACTTTTGATAGTTATAAATGAGTATTATACCTATTATGTCAATATAAGGTGGGCTACGTTCTTTTGATAGTTACAAAAAGGCCGCTTTGCTTGTAGCTTCGACGAGATGTCGTTGACGATATATCTTCGACATCGGGGAAGAACGACACTTCCCCATCCAACATCAGACTCCTCGACATGAGATTTTAAACTTAGCTTGTGTCATACCTCCATTTTGTTCTATCATACTTGTTAAAATTAATTATTTTTTTAAAACAATAATTAATTTTATGTTTATCTCCGTATATATTGTATTTCGAGTTGTGGTTGGAATGTTGAAAATATTTGTATAAATGATTTGTGAGTAAGGGTGAAAGAAACCAAACCAACTAAAAAACCCGACTTGAACCGAATTGATTTGGGTCGGTTCGGTTTAAATAAAATACGAACCGAAACAAAACTGAATCGGCCCGATAATTGTTGGTTCGATTCGGTTTTTAACTGATTAGGGTTTTCACCTTTATTTTCTTAAAGTTAAAGTGCCGCCTCCCCTCAAAACCCGAATCGACCCAATCCTATTACGCCCCTACTTGCAAGTGCTCTTTATAACTGTTGTTTATGGTTTATATGCAATAATTTCTACCAACTAAAAAATAAAAAAATATATTATTTTATTCATAACGCTAATTAGGAAAAAAAAAAAATGGAATGGCTTCGTTCTATTCGGTTTAAATATTATTTTAGCTCTTGAGATCTTACCTTCACTTTACTTTGTTAAGATCTTAAGTTTCATGAGCATTCTTCTGGTTCAATTTTTATATTGTATTTTGTTAAGATCTTAAGTTTCATGAGCATTCTTCTGGTTCAATTTTTATATTGTATTTTGACGAGAATCTTATGATTCTTATTTTCAAATATGATGCCAATTAAAAAATGACTTAAAAACACAAATCTACGAATTATCAAATGAAATTTCTAATAATTATCAAATGAAATTTCTTATTTTTAATGTTAATTGTTAACATCGATAGAAATGTCAAATTTATAAAAATATCGATATCAATAGATATCAATGCGTAAATTAACAAATATGCATTTCACAACCTTTAAATCAGTTAAAAATTAAAAATTGTTAATATAAATGTTATGTCCAAATTAGTAATATAATTTTGATATTTTTTATATTTTATCGATGATTTTGATTCATCTCTCATGCCTGAAATGTGAAAATATCAACATGATTAAAATTTAATACCATGCTTGAATTTCTAAACAAATATTACTACAAGTTTTGAGAGCAGTTTGGCTTATAAAAAATTAATAAATAAGGAGCTCCGGGAAGCAATTTTCTGTTTCTATTTTCAAAATTAAATGAATTTGTAAAATCACTCATCACGACTCTATAGTTTTGGAAAGATTACAGACCTAATATGAAGAACTCGTTAAAAATAATATTTAAAAGAAAAAACAAAACAAAAGTTCGCCGACACAATTTTGCCAACATGAACGTAACTCAACAATTAAGTCATTTTTCTCTTTCTCTCAAGAAGTCACTCAACAACTAAGTCATTTTTCTCTTTCTCTCAAGAAGTCGTTCAATCTCATATTCTCCCATTTATTGTACTAATAACAAATATAAAACGATTTTTAAAATCTAGTTTTGAACATCCCGAACTCAATTTCTAATTGTCGACAACATGCCAATATGGAATATGAGACTATTCTGGACAATGGAAATGAATTTGAACAGAGAAATCCACGAAACACAGCCAACAAGAAGACGTAAAAGAAGATTTCAAACTATTAAGAGCTTTCCAAAAGAACAATGCACAGAAATTCCTCCACTGGCATGTCTACTTTTCTACTCGGGAATAATACAAGGATACGAGCTAACCGCAATCGATGTCCGAGATATGCTCTAATCCGAAGATAACATTCACCACAAAATTTCTAGCAAAGGTTTATTAGTTACCACTAATCAAAGTGAAAAAAGAAACACCGACTGCCTAACCTTGCATCTAAGATTTCTCCTCATCCGACTGCGAGCATGATGGATCGGGGACGGAATCGACGAAAAACTCCTCAACTGCGACAAGATAAACCAGTTATTAAGTGTCAAGCAGTACACAACAACATAAACGTTTAACTGCAGGATTTGATAGACCCCGAAAGTCGACGTGTTAATAGAAATGTAACTTGTAACTAACTTAGACGGCAGGTAGGGGACAAGAACCTAAGAAGTATTGAAGCTAAGTTAGAGATGAAAGGAATTTTTGGATTCAGTAGTTATTAAGTCTCTACGATTACTAAATGTTAAAAGAATTGTGATATTAGAGAGAATATGTAGATCGGGTCGGGTACCTAAATCCTCATTCTCTGGGGAATCGAGCAAAATATCTGAATCAGAGGGGAGAAATGGAGAACCAGGATAATTCCCCAAAGCTCCTAAATCTGCAGGATAAAAACAATGAAAATATGTTTAATATAACACCACAGAATCAAATATGATGAATTTAAAGCAAAAGAATTACCTCCCAAATTTGACAAATCTGCTGTTAGATCCGGCAAGCTGAAGTTCCATTGAATTTGATCCAATGATCTGAAAGAATCCCGGGAATTTCCATCCGTGCCATCTGGTGGAAGTTGCAAACCCACAGAATTTGCAACATCTGATGTAAACGGAGTTTCGAGAGTTGAAGTATCCGCTCCAATTCCGGAGATTTCTGATGCTGAGAATGGGAAATGACCACTTGATGCCACAGATGTAGGACTCATAGGAATCTCGGACATGGATGACAATGCACTGTTTGTTGGAAAAACAGAAACCACGTCAGCAGAACTGTTGTTTGCAAGGTTTAAAATGGAAACTATGATTCATGACCATAGCTATCAACTAATATACACAGGGAAATGGATAAAACTAGGTGGATGAACTCCTCATATTGGTTATAATTATTAGGTTTAATACTATTTTGGTTCATATACTTTCAGCATTCGTTCATTTGCTTTTCCAAAACGATCCAAATACTTTCAGCTTTTATCCATTTTAGTTTCTATACCTTCAAAACTTTCGTTTTGGTCCCTATACTTTTAAAAAGTGATCACCTTGGTCATTTTATTTTCTTTTTTATCCCACATCACAATTTTAACTCCACAGTGTACTCAATAAATGTCTTGTAAAATATAGCTTTGTGATAAATGTCTTGAAAAATATAGCTTTGTGTTGAAGGATTTCAGTGTATAGAATTCATTGTTAAAATTTTTTAAATAGGGATTAAAATAGTCACTTTTCAAAAAGTACAAGGACTAAAATGGACAAAAATTGAAAATACAGAAGACCAAAATTAACCATTTGGAAATATAGGCACCAAAATGAACCATTTGAAAGCATTGGGTCAAAAACAGTATTTAAACCTTATTATTATCAACTGTTAGAACCTCAACAGGTTTACATTTTTTTAATTTATTTAGAAGGAACATAACTAACTGTGTAGGCGGTAAAGCTCAAACCATTTAGAGCATATCACGTCATAGATGATAAGAAAAGAGGAAGGACCGGACCAAAGAGATCGTGAAAACTTACTCGTTCCCAGAATTCATCCGAATAGGATGATAATTTTTTGGTGCAGGGACTCCATTGACTATATGACAACTTGATATTCCATTACTCATAGTATCAATATGGGGTTGACCTGGGACTGGAGCCATAGGTTGCTGAAGGACTGGGTACCCCATAGGTAAGTTATTAACTGCACTGCAAAAAGTTCGAGTTTATAAACTAAAGTAATTTGATCACTTAAGCATAAGTTAAGAAGCACAAACACTTCAGCTTAGGTAATATGTCTGTATCGGACACTACGACACTTATTGTACATGTATTGGACACTTATTAGCTCAATAAAGGTGTTATATGCTAGTTGTACAAAGTGAATATGAATCTGACACTTATTAGGCACATACAAATACTTGTTAAGCACAAGAAACAAACATAAAAAGGAATATAGGGCAAAACAGTAAATTTTGGGAGCAAAATATGTTAAACTCATTTTTTAAAGTATAAACTTATTAATTTTGAATTTCCTTGTATAAAAAATGAAATATAATAAACGTATCCTCGTAGTTGCCGTGTCTATGTCCTAAATTTTAGAAAATAGCACATTGCCGTGTCCGTGTCATATCCGTGTCTCGTGTCTATATATGTACTTTTTAGAGTATTAGCATGAATGTAAATAATCATATTGTAGAAAGGAACAAACTTACCAGGCATAGGGTGAATCCCATTCTGTATAGGAGCCAAAGGAACCTTGGGAGGCATAGGATACTTCATGAGGTGATATTGATGCTCCAGCAAATGGTTGAATAAGAGGATCTGCTTTTTCAGTTTCAACCTTATATAATACGCTCGGAAAAAGTCCGCATTTTCTTCTTCCAATTTCTGCCATACTGAATTAAGAGCATGCCAAATTATATTTCCAATGAAAACCATGTAGTATTTACTGCAAACAAAAGATAAGTGAATTTTAAAGTGATCATTTATAGCCTACACTATACATAATGCCCTTGGTCTATATAAAATTTAGCCCATAACATTCTAAAAGTTTTAAAGTTACCCTAAATCTTTAAATTTATAGCAATTTGTATTATAATTGGAACTTTTAAATTGTTCATAGTAAAATTGAAACCGAGTGGCAAGTGCATGGATAAAGGCAAAATTATAGCTAACTAAATCAGATAAAATGCCCTGCATATGTAGTTTTGTTTAAAATTTCAATTTTACTCTAAAATTGTTTGATATTTGTTAGGCATTTTAACAAAACTTGCTAATAGAGGATTCTTATGAAATAAGTTAAAAGTTGAATGCTAGAATTGAAACTTTTATTGTTCTAAAACAATAAGGACAAAATTGAAACTAAGTACAAAAGTTAAGTCAGGAACATTCTGTGTATGTATATATATAAAGTGATAAAGAACGAAGTATATATCTAATTGAGAAAAACAACAATAATCAAGAAATCATTGAAGTAAGTTCCAATTATACCCAGAGTTGTAAATCCAGGATCTATTCTTGCACGAGTCAGGAGTGTTTTAACCACCTCATCTCTATTCATGTATAACTGTAAGCACCGCTCGATTAAATTCTGGACCTAAAACAACCGTTTTAAAGAATTTGTCAACGCATCGTGGCATCATCACAAATATGGATAACTTGAAAGATGGTAATGAAACAGGAGGATAAAAAGAACATTGCTTCTAAACTGAGGATAATTTATCTCACAAATTCAATATCTTGAGGTGACACTCTCTTGCTATCATTGCTTGTTGCGGATACAGAACTTGAATCTGTGATAGGTGCCTCAGTTGTATTTATTTTATCATTTGCCTTCTCATTCGCTTTTTCATTTGTCGTCGAATCACGAGAAGCTTGAGTTGATTCTTTAGTGCCCTGTGAACTCCCAAATATCTTTAGAATATAGCAGTAGGCAATATATGAAAGAAAAACCTCTTATTTGCAGGTTTGTGTTTGATGAAACTAGCATTTAAGAGTTAAGAAAGAGCATTCGTAGACATGTTTATAATGATTCACAAACTTAATGAAAATCATTAGAGGTTTATGCATTAGACATGCATTTTTTCCAATTTCACATTTTCCCATATCCATATAAATACTAGCTTGCTATAATGCTGCATATATCCTCCTTCAGTACTTCTGAGGTCTGGGAAAAATTGCCAAGATTTATCCACTTTAGAAACATGAAACATTCTCGTATTTTACAAGTAATTTTCGAAAACTATATTACATCATAGATCAAATAGGTCTATAAGATGAAGTGAATAAATTAAAGTAACTTTGTAAGAGGATGACTAGCAATCAAGAGATATAGAAGAACCTGTGTAGTCTTCATATTATCAAAACGCAGGATAACCACATCCTTTTTCTTTTCTTTTTTTTGTGGGTTACATACTTCTCAAATGAAGTTTATGCAATTGTACATATTGCACACATGAAGTGGCAAAGTTTCAACCTGAAAATAGAAAATTTATTCAATCCCTCTGAAACTGGTTGATGAGCATACAATTTAGAGTGAGAGAGACAACACCAAATGAATGCAAATAGTTTTGTACTTCAATCAAAAGATTAATGGAATTTAATTTAATCCCATGGTTTCTCAAAAAATGCGCTGCTTCAAATACCTAAAAGATGTTCCAAAAAGAATAAAAAAGTAAGATGGCCCAGGATGTTCTTCAAGATTCTGTAATCGACAATTAAAATAAAGATCTAAACTCCACTTTTCCACCCTTTTTTCCTAATAAAGAATTGATCCTTAAAGGCACGCAATTCGAGTATAAAAATGCCTTGATTTCAGCTAAAAGAACTGTTTTCCAATACAACCAAAGGTCAAAATAATATTTAAAAAACAATCAGATTCCCAGATCTAAATCAAGCTCAAAACCATTCACATTTAATACCAATTAACGAACACTACACACAGAACAACTTCTCGAGGGTTATAGAAATCCCAAAATTCCAAAAGCAAAAAACCCAAAACAAACAGTTCAATAATGAATAAGAATAAAAGAAAAAGAAAAAAGGTAGCAAGGATCTGGCAGTATTACCTAACACCAAGATTCTGGAACTCAAAAAGAACACCCAATCTCAACGAAGCTTCTCCACGAAGCTCAAAATCTTCAAATATCTAACAGAAAAGAAGATCTCATTAATTACCCTTCAAAAATTAACACTCGAAGAAAATGCTCACAATCGAAAATTACTTCAAAAAGAATACACTCCATTGGAGGACGCAATGAAAGAAACTCACATTGAAACAGATGTCGCAAACTGGATGTTATGGTGATGGAAATGGGATTATTGAGAACAGAAAACGATGCTGGAGAGTGAAGAGAGGGGAAAAAATCTTGGGAAAGTGGGAGTAGGACAAGGCTTTAGCATTTATAGCTTCGAATATTTTCCGGGAAAATGGTGGAAAAGAAAATGCTAGAAATAGAAAGGGAAACCGAAGAGAACAAACCTAAAAGTGAAAAAAATTCCTCTCTGTTGTCGGCTCGGCTTGTGCATCTACAGCACCACTGAAATTGAATTGAAGATTTTCATCTCATTTTGTTAATTTTAATTTTTGTTAGTCCTAACACGTGGGGTCACGTTGGAATTGAATTTGGCCGAAGATACATGTTTTAATCTGGAAAAAAAAAATACAACATGATAGATGGACTAACGAAATCAACTTGATATTATCATATTTGTCCAATTAAGTCAATGGAGAAGACCAAACCTATTCTTGAGACCGAACTAAAGACCATGAAACAATCGGAGAATTATCCAAGTTCTCTTCAACCGAATTGAGGATTCTTACCTCAGACCCAACAACCGACTTGGGGCCCAACATCCCGTAACCGTTGGTCAGAGCGGTTCCAACGACCCTGTCCTCCACTGTCTACAAAAGGGACACTCCGCCACTTCATTCAGCTATGCAATTTTACTTCGAGAACGACCTACCTAAGCTCGCGCCCTACTTACTTGAACGTTGAAATGTTTATTCCTTCTTGCAAGTCCCTTTTACTTAAGGTCGCACCTTGTCAGCTCGTCCCATTATCACATGGCCGACGTCAATAATTCAAACAGAGTCCTACACATCAACATTCGATGCCGTGTTAGTAATCGAACTCACGATCACGTAGTTAACTATACTAGTTTTTCATCCATATTTTTGGAATATCAAATCAGATTTTTTTTAATTAAAAACGAGATATTAGTAATCAATCCAAAATCACTATGTATAATACGTATAACCTATCATTTTTATATTTATATCCATATCTGTATTATATTAAAAAGAAAGGATATTGGAAAAATATTTTTAGACTATTATATCTCTTTTATTTTTTAAATTTACAATCATATCATTAGCATTAATTATTAAATATTAAACATTATAATTTATCTCTAATTACTAAATGTTTATGGTTAGTGTTGAAAAAAATTTGTGGTTAGTAAAAATGACAAATAAAGAGTCATTAATCATTAATCATACATTCTTATAAATGTGTATTTAAATACACATAAATATAATATATTTTAGAAATAAGGTTTTTATTTGACAAATTAAAGTTTTTACTTTTTATCATTGTTTAATGGTGGAAAATGAGATGTGTTAGAATCTGAAAAATTATGTAATTTCTCTACTTCATACAACTACAAAATGGTTTTCTTCTACTCATTTACTGTACCAATTATTTTAATTGCATCTTTCTTCCGTACTTATTTTTCTCTCTTGATTCATTATTTTTAAGGTTTTTAAATTTAGTAGAATAGGACACTAACATTTCAATATTTTTTTAAGTTGTAGACACCATTATTTAACAATTGTAGATCGTTTTCTATTGAAAGCATTTGCTAGTTTGATCTCAAACATCGATAAGAATAATCTTATTTTATGAAAATCATAGCATTTTCTAATTTTGACATTCACTATTGCTATTTCTTTTTGAAGTATAGGTAAAAAAATAAAACAAAAGAGAACAAAGAAGTCTTTCACATAGCACCCACCAAAGTGTTGAGTTTGTTAGGTGAATACAAACAAAGTTTCACATGAGCTAAGGAAGGAGGTTATAATGGGTATATAAGATATGACAATTATCTCTCATATGCGTTTGGGTGAAATCAAAAGCAAAGCCGTGAGAACTATGTCAAAAGCGAACAATATTACACTATTGTGGGGATACTAAGGGTACCGTTGTCCTCAACATCTCATGCATTGCTATTTTTAATTTTAGATTATTTTGTAGTCAACTTAATATCATTACTACTTTTATTTTTAATGTTATGTCAATTTTCAATAGGTTACATTGTTTATTTTATTTAAATATAACATGATTATTGATTCTTTTTTCTCTTTTCCAGTAAGTTGTTTATTTAACTTTGAATAAATATTACATCATGTTAGTTATAACTACCCAATAGAAAATAGTTCAACTAATAATAAGATATGGAATCTTTTAAGAAAATATATATTTTTTTAGTACTTTTAAGAAAAAATTCGAAACCACATGCTTATCTTCGCAATTAGAAATTTATTTTAGAAACATGATAATAATAAATTTTTTAAGGCATTACAAAATAATTAAGGAAACTTTAATCTATATTACATCATAATCTGAGTTGTGAAAGTAAAACAAACAAAATTGAAAACAAAGAGATCGAGATGCTTAAGAAAGTATATTATATTCAACCACATATTGAGAGATGTTAAGTTTTGGCAAAATATTAGAACAGCAAATTGTCTCATATAATGAAGGTACAGGAAAGGGACATGCTCCAAGTGCTATAAAAAGGCTCATGCTTTTGAATTTTATTCATCCAAATTGAAAAACTTTAAGTCTGGTATACTAGGTCTGGTTAACTGAGTGTATTTGCTTTTAAAGAGTGTTTTGTGTAATTGGAGTCAGGGAGAGAAATCTTAGAGATTGTAATAATTTTTCACATGGTAGATTTTTTCCTTTGTGGGCCATAGTTTTTCCTCTAGTTTGGAGTTAATTTCCACGTAAATTCTTGTGTTTTTTATTGTTGTTATTTCTTTTAATTTCTCAGTTATTTTCTACTTATTCCGGTGGTATAAATAAGATTTTTTCCCATCAAGTGGTATTAGAGCTTTAAGTTTGTAGTTTTTTGAATTTCTATATACTATATGATTGCAACATTGTATGAACTTCCACATCAGAAAAGATTTCTTAAAACAAGTTATAGTTATATGAATAGTGTGGGTTGTTCACTATTTGCAGATTCATTAGAAGTGTGAAGCAGATATGTCATTATTCATGAGGCCAATGAAGATTGACGTAGAGAAATTTAACGGAATGATCAACTTCAGTTTGTGGCAAGTGCAAGTGGAGGATGTGCTTATACAATTTGGGTTACACAAGGCGTTGATGAGAAGACCGAGTGATGGTACTTCTGAAAAGCTAAGCAGTGATGGTGGTCCAGTGGAGTCTAGAGATGGTTCCTGCAAAGGTTCTAAGAAGTCCAACATAAGTGATGAAGATTGGGAGGAAATGGATCAGGGCTCCAAATGCGATAAGAATAGGTTTGGGTAAAAATATCCGTGAAAACGTACATGGAATTTTGACAGCCAAAGAACTTTGAGAGAAGCTCGAAGTGTTGTATTAAGCAAAAGACATCTCAAATCGATTGTACCTGAAGAAGCAGTTTCACACGCTATGAATCGAGGATGGTACGAGGATCTCAGATCATCTAAGTGTTCTCAATAACACCATTTTTGAGCTGTAGTTGCTCGAAGTAAAGTTATATGACGAAGATAAGGCACTTATACTCATCTTATCACTTCCACATTCTTATGAACACATGAAGCCGATCTTGATATACGGGAAGGAGACTTTGAATTTCACAGAGGTTACTAGTAAGCTTTTGTTAGAAGAAAGAAGATTGAAGAGTGAAGGGCGTACTTCACATGAAACCTCAACAATGATAGCTAACAATTGGAAGAAGAAGAAAGACTTCATGTAAAAGAAAAGTTGCTAGGGATACGAACAATTTTGGGCACATGAAGAAGGATTGTCCTAATAGAGTCGGTTCATCAGCTGACAATATTTCTCTCATTTTCTCATGGTATGTTTGCTTTACCATGATAGAGGATGTGATGTTAGCGGTTCCACAAGTTTACACATGGGCATTGACTTGGCAGTTATGCAAAATGTATGAGCTGGAAGCTAGTTATATCTATGGTTGAAGAACTTCTAGGTGAGCCAAGTAGATGGAAGTTGCACTATAAATTTTAACATGATTTATCGACATATTAAAAAGAAGAAAAATCTTGGAATGCGACATTTTAAGTGGTCTACTTTTATGGTGAGGTAGGTTATAGTTCTTTGAATTGAGAATTGTGATTGTCGACAAAGACAATGAGTGCATTAGAAATTGTGAACTCTTCAACATCTTGCCAAGGTAGAATTTGTAGAGTTTTAGCAAAATATTAGAAGAGCAAATTGTCCCACATCGAAAAGGTATAAGAAGGCCCATGCCTTTGGGTTTTATTCATCCCAATTGAAACATTTTAAGCCTACTATATTAGCTCTAGTAAACTAAATGATATTTGCTTTGAGAGAGTGTTTTGTGCAATTGGGGCCGATGAGAGAAATCTATGTGGTTGTAATAATTTTTCACATAGTGGATTTTTTTCTTTGTGGGTCGTGTTTTTTTCTCCGATTTGAAATTTTCCATGTAAATTCTTGTGTTTTCATTATTTCTTTTAATTTTCAGTTATTTTTTGTTTATTCATGCAGGGTCCCCTCAAAAGGAGCTGTGGCCTGAGCGAGTTGGAAAAGAAGGCAGTTTTGTCCCACGTAGAGGGACAGTATAGCTAGACTCCCTTTGAATTTCTCCAGGTTGATGCCGACAATCAAATGTTGGAGCCTCTTGCAGTGGATTTCACAAATGTTCTCAATCCATTCTTCAACCTCAAGTTCACTGCTGTTACCGTGATTTAAATGCACAATCATTTAACTTCATGCTGTAACATTTAAGCTCTGAGGAATAATATTTCAATTCTGTAGAAAACACCATCATACATACACACACGCACATGCCAACAATCTGACAATCAAATGTTGGAGTCTTTTGCCGTGGATTTCATAAATGTTCTCGATACATTCTTCAACCTCGAATTTTGTAGCAGAAATTGCTTACCGTAGTGTACGGGTAAAGTTTTAATAAAAATGGTAAGTAAATACCGATTTCATCCACTGGATTGGGTTTCTAGTCCACTCAAGTACCACAAATCCTAATGCCCGATTTTATTTAAGAAACAATCATGGATTTTATTTTTAAACACAAAGAATACATAATAAAGCGATTAATAAAGTCTAAGAGAACTTCTATGGAGACGGGTCCTAGGGAATTGACTTCACCAGTTGAATTTACGAGCAAATAAATTAAACATGTCAAGATTGAATATGCAATTAATCTATAAGTCAAGAAGGCACATATCATAACTGTCCCTCTTGAGCACAATTAATTCTCTTACTTGTTAAGTA